TCATCGAAAATCCTAGTCGGCTCAGGAGCGTCGTGATGAAACGAGAAGAACGACGACATCGTAGCCGTAGGCGGCTCCGATTGCATTTGAACGTATCGAGGCCCGCCTCCATCCACCAACTGCTCCGATCCCATTCCTAATCTGTCCAACGCTACAGCAGCTTCGTTTGATCGAACACAGCCACGATTGAACACTCTTAATCCACGGAAAACAGAAACAGAGGAATCGAGAGATCGAAATTTGTTCTCGTTGAAGGTTTTTTTCTTTGTTTTCCTGAACTGCAGGCAACAAGAAACACGTCAAAGTCTGAATTTCGCGGGTTTCTAACGTGGGTTTCTTGTCAATCCACAATGAGAAGAAGATCGGGTTTCTTCAATATTTTAATCGTTGAAAATCAATCGTCAAGTTTGATTCAGTGAAGGAATGCGATTAATAATATTGAAGGATGATCAAATTATTTTACAAACAAACGATCGGTCCAAGAGGCAATTGTTTTAGGCCTTCTAATTATAAAATACCTCACTTTATTATCTATGGGATGTATTAATAGCTGTTCCACATGTCGTTAAAAATGTGGTGAGTTAAATTTTATAAAATTATTTTTATACAAATGGATGGAAATTTTTATACCATTGTGCGACACTCATTTTCCAGCAACAAGTTAGTTAAGTCTATTTGTTCTTATGTCACCTACGGCCAAGCGACGTAACTCGAGCCTCTGATCCCGGTTTAAGAAGAAAGTTTTAGAAAATAGGGGTAGAGAGATTTCAAAAGAGGGTTTTGAAGGCAAAATTTGAGAAGACGTATACTCGAGCCTCTGACTCCGGTTAAAAAAGAGAGTTTTAGAAAACGGGGGCAGAGATATTTCAAAAGAGGGTTTGAAAGCAAGATTTGAGAAGACGTATACTCGAGCCTTTGGCTCCGATTCAAGAAGAGAGTTTTAGAAAACGGGGGTAAAGATATTTCAAAAGAGGGTTTTGAAAGCAAGATTTGAGAAGACGTATACTCGAGCCCCTGGCCTCGATTCAAGAAGAAAGTTTTAGAAAATGGGGTAAAGAGATTTCGAAAAAGGGTTTTGAAAGCAAAATTTGAAAAGATATATACTCGAGCCTCTAGTCCCAGTTCAAGAAGAGAGTTTTAGAAAACGATGGCAGAGAGATTTCGAAATAGGGTTTTGAAAGCAAGATTTGAGAAATTGAAATTGGTGTTGGAATGGAAGCAAAAGGCAACAACAACGAGTTACTGCATATAACTATCGGGTAGGAAAAAGTGGACAACTTGTTAGGTTTGAAAAATCTTTCGAACCAATCCGAAATGTTAGGTTGGTGACCCGAACACTCGAATAGAGTTCACAACCCAATCAAGTTGGGTTGTCGAGTTTATTTTAATTATTTAAAAAAATTCTACTTATCTACTATACATAATACATCACTGACTAAAATCTCACAAAATTCAAATATCAAACATTTATAACTCATTACATATCACTAATATTTTAAATATTTTTAAAAGTGGAGTATATATATGAAAACCATAATAATAATATAAATTTAGATTTTTGAATTGGTATTTTAAATTAGGTAATAAATTTTTAACGGTCATATGCAAAATTAAACATTAAAAAATTTTAACTACAAAATTAAAATTGCTGAAAAAGAAAATTACAAATTGAAGAAGATCCAAATATTTGTGTGTGAAAGAACGGATTTAAATTTTTCTTAAAATATAAATTGTACGTTTGAAATTTAGGCGGGAAAAAAGTGAAAAATAAAGCAAACAGATAATTTTAGAAATTAAAAGAAATAAATAGAAATTGCGATATAGAAGATTTTTTAAAATTTGTAAACTTTCTTTTATGAAAAATAAATTAATAACAAAAATCCTGTAACACGTAACTTGTTTAGGCCTTGAGTTGTGTCATCATCGGGACTTTACTCTCAACCGAGCTTTGGTTTAGTCAATTTTAGGCACAATTCTCACCCAAAAACCCTTTTAGCCCGTAGTTTGCTCAGACCTTCAACTATGTCGTCGTTAGGACTTTGCTGTCGACCGAACTTTGATTTAGTTAATTTTAGGTACAATTCTTATCCAAAAACTCTTTAGTCCGTAGCTTGCTTAGGCTTTGAGTAGTGTCGTCGTCGTCAAAGTCAATCGAGCTTTGATTTAGTCAAGGTTAGACACAATTCTCTAATCTTACAATAATAATATAACTTTTTTTTTTAGAGGTAATTACAACTATAATCTCATCGACACTTGTTGTACTACAAAAATCCTTCGGGTCATATTTGGGCCTTTACTTCTATTATATTAGCCCAACTTAAAAAGCCCAATAATATCGTACTTAAGGCCCATTTAACGGCCCACGAGATTGGGTACGGCGGATCATTACCAGGGTCGTGGAGTGAATCCGTCCGCCAGTCCGCCATCTCGTTCTCAAAGCCCTAGATTTTTCGTCTACAAAATTCCAATTATTTTTCCAATTCCAAACGCTTCCATTGCAATGGATACCTCTCTGGTCGCCGGAACGCTTTCAATTGTCGCCAACAACGGCGTCGGGTTCGCTAAATTCCTCAATCGCCTCGATATCCTATCCAATTACAGTATCTCCGCTACCGATTCAATCACCGACCAGATCCCACCGTCTTCCGCCGCTGGAGCTCTTCAATTATCGGTCGCTCTGTTCCCCGTCGCAACCATTGCTCCGCCGCCTGTCAAATCGATTTCATGCCGATCGTCCTCTCGGACGTTTCTCCGTAGAAAACGACGCACGAAGCGTAGATTGTACAGCAGCGATGATTCCGAGGGCGGCGAGGATAACGGATTCGACTGTGGCGATTTTGACGGACCGTACGGTGGAGATGGCGGCGGAGGCGGCGGTAGGGGTTGGAATTTCGATAGATTTGGGGGGAATGATTGGGACGAATCATCGTCTTCTTCTACCTCTTTGAATCCTGCGTATTATTTCGTTTACGAAGTGGTTTGTTGGATCGCGCTCTCGAACTGTGTGCATTTTGCGTTCAAGAAGGTTGTTAGATTTGCAGCTGAAGCAATTGGGAACTCCGAAAGGGTAAAACTGTTCATGAGATTAATCTCTGTTTGTTGATTGCTGCAATTCTCTTGTCAACGATCATCCTTGAATTGTATATTTTGTAAATATTCATATTGATTTATCTTCTTCTTCTTCTTCTTCTTTTTTTTACTGTTCTTCATTTCTAATTTATGGATATTCATTGAAATTACTCACGGTAGGTTTATCCTCCGGCTATGAACAATTATGGAGATCATTGACTTGGAATTTATAGTAATTTTTTAAAATAGAGCTTATTTGCTACTGTGGATAAGCTCAAATAATGCGTTAGATTTTTCTTTTGCCTCGTCGTCTGAAGAACAGTGTCCTCCACATGTCTTGAACAGATTTTTTCAAAAATATTTTAATTTTGAAAGCTTTTCTTGAAAATATGGTTTTTTTTTTTTTTTTTTTTTTGTGGAATTTGTTTGAAATTTTAGGGCTACACAAATTTACTTAAGAAGCATAATAGTCTGTTGAATCACTTGATTAAATTTCAAGTACACAAGAAGCAAAATTGTTCAAAGACTAATTTGAAACCTAAAAAAAACCTTAATTAGGCAAACCCGATAAATTTGGAAGGACAATGTGTCCAACAATGAATGTCGACTTGGACCCAATCATCTTCCTCACTTAACAATAAAATTATCGGTAAAGTAATTTGAACCCTAGAACCCATGAATCAATCTAATCTAGTTCTCCAACTAATTGGGTTTTGAGTTTTTGGAACATAAAATAAGAACCCACCTAGTTTGATCCCACCTCATTTGGAGAGCAAAACGAAATATTTCTTAGGTCGTAAAAATCTCTCTTTAGAAGAGGCGTATATAAATCTTTCTTATAAGGGCGTAAAAATCTCTCTTATAAGGACGTGAAAATTATTTCTTATAAGGGCCGCTCTTTAGAAGAGGTGTAATGAAATATTTCTTACAAGGGCGTAAAAATCTTTAGAAGATGCGTATATTTCTTATAAGGGCGTTATAAGGGTAAGGGTGTGATATAAGGGTGTGTATATAAGGGTAAGGGTGTGATGTGATATAAGGGTGTGAATATAAGGGTAAGGGTGTGAAAATCTCTACTTAGAAGAGGCGCCTCTTAATATTTCTTATAAGGGCATTATGAGGTGTGAAAATCTCTCCTTAGAAGAGGCACCTCTTAATATTTCTTAGAAGGGCTTTACAAGGGTGTGAAAATCTCTCCTCAGAAGAGGTGCCCTAGAAGACGCTTGAAAATCTATCCCAAAAGAGGCATTGAAAATCTATCCCTCTTAATCTCTCCTTAGAAGAGGCGTCCTAGAAGAGGCTTGAAAATCTATCCCAAAAGAGGCGTTGAAAATCTATCCCTCTTAATCTCTCCTTAGAAGCCTTAGAAGAGGCGTCCTAGAAGAGGCTTGAAAATCTATCCCAAAAGAGGCGTTGAAAATCTATCCCTCTTAATCTCTCCCTCTCTCCCTAGAAGGCGTGAAAATCTATCCCTAGAAGAGGCGTTGAAAATCTCTCCCTAGAAGTGACGTTGAAAATCTCTCCCTAAAAGAGGCGTTCTAAAATTGTGAGGCTAACGTCGATGTGTAACGAGCCAAAGAAGACAAATGGGTTTGGGCGGCAACAACTAGTTTATGTAACTATAACGGACAGATGCAGGAATGAACTATACTTCGCCATATTTCATTTGAATTATTCAATAATTCAGATTTTGGCACAAAACTACTCACTACAAACATTTAAAACTAAGGATATATAACCCGACCTCCGTACAACTCAGGCACAAGAGCTTCCCATCACGCAAGTTTAAATCTCCTCTACTCATTTATAATATAACAAATAGGAAAAACAAAAGTTTTAAGAACGCAAAATCAAATCAAGATCAAAATAAATAAAAAAAATCATGTGAAATTTCATCAGATCAGCTGGTAAACAATGAGAGAACAACCAAGAAGAAGGAAAGATCAATGTAGTTCAATCATTCCCAATATCAAGGATTCTAGTCAACATACTAAATATTCACATTTCAATGCATTTAGATGCTAGATATTATGATGTCTAGACCTGATCTAAGAGTATTAAGAACTCGTAGAATCTCATATGATAGGTAGAGGAGTGACAAAAATCCAGACCAATCTAGACATATGATGCCTAAACTTCATGCATTAAGGAATCCATAAATATTCAAATTTTCAAGCATTCATCAATCAGTGATTGCCCCGATTAAACTCGCCTGGGTTTGTCGAGAAATCTCCGACACCACTTCGAGCTGTATTTTGACCGTCCATGGATGGTGGTGGTTGCTGCACTGGATCTCTCTGGTCTTGACCCCAGCTTTGTCTCTGAATCGGTTGGCTCCGTTCAACTTGCATAGTTTCTCGGCGTCTATCGTACCGTGGACGAGGCCTAACTCTTCCAGATTGTTGCCTCTCAGTGTACCTATACTGCGGTCTTGGGTAGACCTTTCCGTCAATGAACAGATCACCTGAAAACAACACGAAAAACTCGTACAAGCAATGAGCATTTAACTTGAGAAATCCAACTGGTTTCAATTTATATCAATTCCATAGAGTTTAGAAGAGTAATCACCTCCATAATCTTTGTTTGGAACATCAAGATATGAATCTGGTAAAACCCATAGAACTCCTGGCAATTCTGTTTCATGGGAACAAAGAGCTCAAGTCACCCAATATTGTTCTTTTAAAAAACCAAATAGAAATTATCACAAAACAATGTCAAAACTTTCATCAAATGAGTACCATAATCAAGAAAATGAGAAAAAAAAAAAACAAGTTATGATCATCAATGGGAGCTTTAACTAATCAAATTCATGAGGGAACTTTCATCAAACATATGGTGCGCTTGAGCTCAAAACTACAATTTTCAATCTTCGATTGTAATCCAAATAATCGACAAAATCCAAACAAATGAAAGAAGAACAAATCAAATTCCCAAGGCTCCTTAATCTAATCATAACGCGCACAGAAACAATTACCTTTCACTTTGTAAGAAAGCTCTTCCGAAATCAAGGCACCAAAGCCAGTATACGTAGTTGTACTGACAGAGTAAATTTTCTTCTTCGCCTCTTCTTCACTGAGAATCAGAAGAAAACGAAAACCCTAAAATCAACAAACAAGATAATCCAAGCAAAAGACACACAAATAAGTAATCCGTGGATAATAAGTTTTTTCATTCCGATACCTTCCCACAACAGCGGCTAGAGTTTTGACATAAGAGTTCACCATCTCCTCCTCCGATGGTTTCGGATCATTTGGAAACTCCATCACGATCAGCCAATGCTCGTAATCACAGCCATCGAGGAGTATCGTCTCTTTAGGAGGTCGATTGCTCCAATTAGGAGAAGGATCATTGAGTGGAGAGTATCCGGACCCCGAAGTCCTGAATCGAACTGGAAAATTGAATGAATTAGGGATTATTTGACTCTGTCTGTCGAGCAGAGGAAAAGCGAGTCTCAGGCGAGAAGAAATAGAAGACGGATGAGACAAGGAAGAAGAAGAGGAGAAGCTTCGGCTAAGGACAGTGAAAAATGCTCGCCGGGCGGCCATTGTTGAGAGCTTGATGGTGGCGGAATAACACCGTAGGTTATTTTTGGTTGAATCGGGATTTTAAGGAGGTTTTGGGTAAGAAGCGCAGTGTATCGAACGGCGTCGTTTCGTTACAGTAATATATTACATAATTTAAATTAATTAATAAAATAATTTTACCATCTTGATCGATTTAAAATATTTATTATTAATCTTATAAATCACTTTTTTTTATATATATATAAAACTGACCAGTAGATATATAATGATTAATTTGTCAAAATTTATTTATATTTAAACAAAAAAAAAATAATATATAGATATATAGTTATCTAAGTTATATTATTTTACACTTTTATTAATTTTAATCTCTAACTTTTAATATTTATTTATTTTAAAAAGTAGCCTTTTTTTATTTATTTATATTAAAGGATTTTCATTATATATAAAATTAAATTATCACTTTTTACCAAAATAAACTGTAAAAAATTAGAAGCAAACTAGAGTAACAGCTTCACATACATAGATATATTTCTAATTGCAGTTAAGTCCCCAATATATGTATATTCATATTGCAGATAAGTCCCCATATTTATACATATTTATATTTTTTGACTTACAGCATTGAACACTACTAGTTTCTAGAGATACCAAGCTATACTCATTTTGCCGCACGCCAAGTCGTTATCACAACTCCGCCGCGGGCTCTGGCGACCTGATTGCAGTTCACCGGCACAGGCAGCTTTTCTCTCATCTTCCTCGGAGGTTGTTCCGCCTTACACGGCGCCTGCGGCAGAGCCGGCCTCGCCGCCGCCGCCGGTCTTCTCGTCGCCGGTACTCGACCGAAGTATTCGTCAATTAGTTCGAATCCTTCTCGTCCAATCTTTGCCAGGTCAGCACGAGGAGCCATAATTTTCTCTCTCTAATTGAAAAAAAAAAAAGGATTTTTTTTTCTCTTCTGAGCTTTGTTTTTTATTGCTTTGTTGGCTTGCGATGTTTCATTGGACTTGACCCATTTTATAGGAGTCTGGGGAATTTGTGGGCCCCACTGAAAGAATAATATAAATATTTTAATGGGAAGGGCTTGATTGTAATTTCAAATGCAAAGGTTGATTTATTCGTATTTATCTAAGGGATATTACAATTGAATATATCTTTCTTTTTTCTTTACAAAAATCTACTTAAATAATTATTTTATTTTAAGTATATATCTGTTACACGAGATGGGAGTTCTCTCATATTTTCCAACATTCTTAACCACTTTAATATTCATAAAAAAAAAAAATAAAAAAAAAAATTGTCAAATATATTTTAATTCAAGCTAGGGCGATGCCTCGAATAGAATAGTTCATTTATCAAGTATATTGTTATTGTAATACGTCTAACGTTATTCTAATTTTAAAATAACTTATATTGTTAATACAATGAAACTTGAAATACAGGACTAAAATAATATTTTATCAAAAAAAATTTAAGGGCATCGAAATAAAGATTATAATGTATGACGTGTGATGGACACGGATGAGTTGAATTCCTCACTCAAAATTATTGACCAAAAAAACCCAAGTATTAAATCGTGTCCATTAAAGTTGAGACGATAAAAGCTTATAGAAAAGAATTTTCAAGGTCTAAAAGCTTCTGGGTCAAGGGTCGAAAAATTATATTCTGAAAGAGATGGAAAATTCTATTGTTGTTTGTACCAAAAAAGCATACGCCGATAAATGAACATTACAAGGATTTGAATGATTTGAATGTTGTGTGTGTTTAATCGGTAATATATATTTTAATTAAGTTATTGATTTAAAATGAGTGAATTATTTTTAATCTATCTTATTGAAAATTTTTGTGATATATTTGAGATAAATTAAACATATTTTACATAAACACTCATAAAAAAATAAAAAATAAAATATTTAATCTTCATTTTCACGAAATTATTTTCTAATTTTTTTAAAGAGAAAAATACAAATGGAAAAATTAAAATTATATTTTATTAAAAATTAAAATAATTGGCTTTAATCTGAAGCAATACATGTGTTGAAAGGGAATTGAAATTCTTGGAGTAATTTTTAAGGATAACTAATTTATTTTAACATAATCTTTTGTTTAATATTTTTTAGAAGCACTTTCCAAGAAAAGCAAAAAGATTATTACATTATAATTAGAAAGTAAAATAATGGTTATATAAATTCTGATTTTCTGTTTTAATTAGAAAAAAAAAAAACAAATTATCGTTATATAAATACTTTTAAGTAAAAATAAAAAAATAAAAAAGATTATAGTTTTAAAATATCTGCAGAGATAAATTAACGATGTTTACACCAACGGTAATACGAAAAAGGGTAAATTGGTAATTTTGTAAAATTCCAACAGTAATAAGTTAATGAATTAAATGATTAATATGACCCGTTAATTTACAAATTTGCTATTTAATTTAAAAATTTTGTACTAATTTGAATTATGGTGTATGATCGAGATAACAATATAGACAAGCGGTTCGGTTAGGCTCTACAGATGATGGATAAATCCGAGTCTATTTTTACGAGCTTTAAGAGTACACGACGACCAATACGAAGCAAAGGAGCAACAGCTTCACATATATTTCGATTGCAATTAAGTCCCGGATATTCATATTGCAGATAGGTCCCCATATTTATACATATTTATATATTGGGACTTACAGGAGTGAGCACTAGTTTCTAGAGACACAAAGCTATACTCATTTTGCCGCACGCCAAGTGGTTATCACAACTCCGCCGCGGGCTTTGGCCACCTGATTGCAGTTCACCGCTACAGGCATCTTTTCTCTCTTCTTCCTCGGAGGTTGCTCCGCCTTACACGGCGCCTGCGGCAGAGCCGGCCTCGCCGCCGCCGCCGCTGCCGCCCTTCTCGTCGCCGGTGCTCGACCGAAGTATTCGTCAATTAGGTCAAATCCTTCTCTTCCAATCTTTGCCAGATCACCACGAGGAGCCATAATTTCTCTCTCTTTCAAACACTGTTCTTGATTGCTTTGTTGGTTTGTAAATCTTCATTGGGTTTGGTCCATTTTATAGCTCTGGAACAAAGCTTAATTATGGGGACTTTGTGGGCCCTACAGATGGAATAAGTTTGTTAGAAAATAAATAATTCCTTTTTTTAATTACAAATAAAATAATTTCAATAATACCTTTAAATTTTAAAAATAATAATTTAAAAAATATCTTTTACCATTGAGAATTTATTTTAAAAATACCCTTAAATTATATAAAAAAATAATTAACATGTTTATTTTTTTAAAATTAAAAAATACTTTTACAGGTCTGTAAGATTTTTTTTTTTTTTTTTTTTTTTTTTTTTTTTTTTTTTTTTTTTTTTAGTTTT